GTAATGGGCTTGGGCAGATGGGTCATGAGTTGACCCAAAACAACCCACCTCTTGGCGCATTCTTATCCTTGACTTAATTATTCTAGGCCAAGTATTCAAAGTAGGTGCATCACCTACTTGTCTTTTATCTTATTCTTGCTCTCTTTATATGGACGACTTGTTTTAAGTAGGTGGATCACCTACTTAGACTAGTAGGTCGTTAATTTTTTTTTAAGCATGTGGGTCGCCCTCGTTAAGTAGCTCAAGTAACTAGGACATCAAGTAAGTATCTCAACCAAGTAGAACGTCCAAGCAAGTAGTTCAACCAAGTAGGATGTATAAACAAGTAGTTGAAGTACATATCTCAAGCATGTAGGGCGTCAAACAAGTAGGTGAAGAAGGTTCATCGCGGCCAACTTTGGTCTTGACCAGTCCATGATAAAATGTGCATAACTTCTTGTACTGAGGTCAGATTTATGAGCGGTTTGTTTTGCTGGAAAATAGACTCAGAGACCTTTAATTTGATAGGATGTTATTTACCCTTACTCTTTATAACCTGGGAGATACACTCCTTCAAAGTTGGACATTATTCGACTCGTTGAGAAAAGAACTGCCCATTGTGTCACTTATAACTTAATTTGTATGAAGGATCTTTTAACTCATTAAATATTTGTTTAACTCAGTTGTATTCTATATATCTTAGTCTTTAGTTTTAGACGCAATCTTGATCTCGTGAATTCAAATACCTTTAACTCCACCGAACTAGTCGTACTTTGTCTTGGGGATGCTGGGTATTACATTATCCCCTTAGGATCATTCATCATCAAATGAGAATCATAGCTTAATAAGAGTCTAACTCTGGATTTTTTTTCGAAATTTCGCCAAAGTTGCCTTTGTAAACAGGACTATCCAATACCTGTCAGCTAGCCGGAATGTACATATACAAGCCTCACAGGGTGTCTCAACAACACATGAAATAATCATATGACAAGGCTCCTCTTGGCCATATAATCAAGTGAAGACGATAACATGTAGCACAACTGACCTTGTGTTCTGGATCCGTGTAACTCATTTGTATGGAACATGTGAGAGTTTGGGGATAGTAGGCATGAATCATACCTCTGAACATGTGACATATGAATAAGATAACATGTGAACCTATGAACAAGTGAGCGAGAATATATGAACAGGTGACAAATGAGTCTATGAATCAGTGAACAAATGAATCTATGAACAAGTGAACAAATGCAAGTGAACTTTATGATTGTGTAAGGAAGACACGTGGTAGGAACCTCCCGTAGGTTCTTGGGACAAAAGTGGATAGCCGGAGACGTTGGCTAACTTTCTTAGCTCTTTACACTCACTGTAAAGTTCTTTTGGATGTACTTCTGTCCAGTTTTTTCTTAAAGTTGGCCCCCTCTTTACGTCAATAATGTTCTTTTAGTTGCCTATTGAAAAAAACAGGTGTCATTATGCTGATGTGTGACTTTCCCCAGTTCTTAGGTTTTTGTTGGAGTCTTTCTGTTCTTGTGGTGTGAGCATTCCTAGAGAC